ATAATACATATGCATTTCTTTAATTTAGAATTATGTGTCTACAATGTTTTTATTCAAAAAACATTATTCATTATCAATAAATTAAATAAGAGAAATAATTTCATTAGTTATATTTTCTTTATTTTTCTTCAATATAAAAATTCTTTACATTCAAATTCATCAATTGATTATATTTACTACATTGTCCTTACAATGTCTTTATTCAAAAAATTTATTCATTATCAATAAATTAATTAAAAATAATAATTTCATTAGTTATATTGTCTTTATTTTTTCTCCAATGTAAAAAAAATATTATTTACATTCAAATTCATCAATTGATTATATTCACTACATTGTCTATTATTTTTTTTTGTGCAGTGTTTTTTTTATTAAATATCAAAGTTATAATACAAAATAATGCTATATATTTATTTACCAAGTATTTTATTAATACCATGAAAAAATTTAAAAACTATAATTAAGCCAATCATATTAACTACTTGAGAGATTTGTTGACAAAGAGAGTATTCAAATCACACAACAAATTGAAATGGAAAACTACCTCGCAATGTCCTTGTTTGACTATCCGCAGTTAGCGGACTATATTAGCGGATTTGACCAGAAAATTATGTCAACCATTGATAAAAATATATTTGAAAAGAATAACAGTTTAGATTAGCATGTCACATGGCCTAATAATAATAATAATAATAATAATAATAATAATAATAATAATAATAATAATAATAATAATAATAATTGGGCATTATCCCAATCACGCAATGCGCGTAAAAAAAACTAGTATATATATATATATATATATATATATATATATATATATACACATACACATACACATACACATACACATACACATATGCATGCATGCATGCATACATACATACATACATACATACATACATACACACACACACACACACATATATATATATATATATATATATATGGGGACGGGATGGGGCGGGAGAGTACTCTCCATCCCCGTCCCCGACGAGGAATATACATACACACACACACACACACACACACACATATATATATATATATATATATATATATATATATATATACACACACACACACATACACATACACACATACATACATACATACATACATACATACATACATACATACATACATATATATATATATATATATATATATATATATAGAGGGTTGCATTCAAATACAAACCCCCTTAAAATACAAACACTCCTTAAAATACAAACTTGAGCCCGTGCACACATTAACATACTTACATGCACACAGGGCGCACTGCCAATAATTTCTGGGATTAGCACGTGCACATATTAACACACTTACATGCACATAGCGCGTAGGAGGAAAAATCACAGCCATCCATCAAAGCTCGTGCACACATTAACATACTTATATGCACACAGCACGTAGGAAGAAAAAATCAGGACCGTCCAATACCACCATCCAACGGCGTCAAATTGTCCACAGGTTTGTATTTTAAGATGTGTTTTTACCTGAATGTAAATCTATATATATATATATATATATATATATATGGGGACGGGACGGGGCCGGAGAGTACTCTCCATCCCCGTCCCCGACGAGGAATTAAAAATTCCCCTCATCCCCATCCCCGATACCCTGTTTTTGTCCCCACGGGAACGGGGAGTCGGGTTTTCCGTCGGGTATGGTTACAGTTGACATCTTTATCTGCGATTGGTTGCGGCCTAGTGTGGCAGGATTTGCTGGTCTGCCACACCTTGTCGTGGCCTCCTTGTGGGGCAACTAGGCCTTGGTTTTCTGGCGAACTCCTTCGCAACCTCATTAAAATGCAATTCCTGACCTCCAAACACCACAAAAACAACCAAAACAACACAATCCTAACATCATAGTTAGGCTACAACTTTAAAATACACATTTATAACACCACATTTCATCATTTTAAAAGCTCAAAAACATAGAACACACCAACAACATATATTTTTCAGTACATGGAACAAAATAATAGAGTTTTATGCTTCCATGATGTCTTACCTCAAGCTTTGTACCCTAAGAACAAATATCCCTCCAATAAGCCTCAAGGTTGACCTCCTTCTCCACCCTTAAACCCCAAACCAAAGAAAACAATAACCACAACATCACACACATGCACATGTGTATACGTTCATACGTATAACATTAGGAAGGGAAAAGAGAGGAGAAGAAAGGAAAGGAAGAAGGGAAGAAGGAAGAAAGAAGAAAGAAGCCTACTGTTGATGTTTCCTTAAGCTAGCTTGGTCTCAATTCTTGATGAAGTAAAGAAAAAATATGGAGGGATTGAGGGAGGCAATGGAATAGTGTAGTATTTATAGTGGGGCACAAAACCCTGGGTGGATAGAGGGAAGAGAGGAACGGCTATGAGAGGGGTAGAATGAGGATTTTGGGTTATAATTTTGAGTCAAAAGTTGGGTCAAGTTTAGATAAAAATATCATTTGATTAGCATAAAAATAGGCTAGGTTTCTTTTGAGTTCAAACTTAGGCTTAAAATGAGTAATATAAGGATCACATATTCATCTGATATTGATTTTTGGGTTAAAATTTTAGATGGGATTTATATCATATAAATAGCTTTCATAAAACTATAAGTGTCCATATAAATATTTTTATTTAAAAATATTTGTTTTAATATTTATAATAACTCATTCCCCTAAAAGAAATAAAATTAATTTTATTCACTTTGTAGTGAGTTAGATATGGGTTCTACTACCTGAATTTTTGGGAGGATGTACTTTTATTTTGCGCATTTTGTAGTGAGTTTAGATTTTTAATCTTACAAATTTATATTTCACGCCCAGTGGGACTTGAACCCACAATCGCTTAATTAGAAGTCAAGCGCCTTATCCATTAGGCCATGGGCGCAGATATATTTTATAAGGTATTTGAATTTATTAATTGTTGTCCCTTATTGGTTATAATTAATGTTGACTTTGTGTGTTTATGTTTTGTAATGTGTTCAAATTACGTGACTTTAGTACGAATAAAAATAGAGCAAATCTATATATTGTGTGTTCTTAATTACTCTGACTTTTAATTATGTATAGATTATGAATATTGACTAATTAATTATGGAAAGAATATTATGGTAATATAAACTAATTAATTATTGAAATAATTAACGTGTATTCCTTTTAATTGTAATGAATATATATATATATATATATATATATATATATATATATATATATAAAAAAAAGTAAATTTTAATAATTATAAATTACACGGAATTATAACAATTAGGTATTAGTGTAATAATTAAATATGGTAATAGCATAATAATTTTCTATTTAAACTCATCATTGTGCTAAACCCAAAGCTGTCAGCTTCCAACGTATTTCTGCATTTGTATTCTCCTCTTTACACCGATTCTCAATGTGATAGAACTTCAATTCTGTGGAAATTTTGAAAGATGCAGATTTCCCAACACATGTTTATGACAGAGAAGATTATGATTTCGCTGAAGAGGTGGTCTATTACTTACTTACATTGTTTTACTTTTTTTGTATAACTTTAATGACGTATTTAAATTTTCCTAACTTTCACGATTCTCTAGATACATGTGCCTGAACCTCCGATTGGAAATTTGTATTCTACCAAAGAAGGAGATTCAAATAATGAGGAGGCTGCTTAGAGATGAATAATGAGGAATATGTCAACAATTTAATCTATTCAACTCATGCATTTGTTATGTTATTTGTTATTGTTTTTACTCATATTATGCACTTTGTTTTTAATCAAATTAGTTATTTGTATTTTGATGTTATATTATTATGCTAATATTACACGCAATTGGAAACTATTATTCATGGCATTTTTCATTATTCATTATTCATTTTGTACTATTCTTTATTTCGTAATTGTTCATGTCAAAGTGCAATTCTTTATTTCGTAGTTTTTATCCAATGACATTTTTCACTTCTCAATAGGGATGGCAACGGAGCGGGATGGGGGTGGGGAGTATACTCCCCGTCCCCGTCCCCACCGGGGAATTGGAAACACTCCCCATCCCCGTCCCCTCGGGGAATTAAGCGGGGACGGGGATTCCCCATTCCTCGTCAACTCCTAGTCAAAATGTTAAATATTTATAATTTTTAATAATAAAAAAATTAAAATCCAATTCCTAATATCAAGATTTAAAATACTGAGTCTATATATATATATATATATATATATATATATATATATATATATATATATATACATATATATATATATATATGTGTATATATATATCTATACACACACACACACACACACACACACACACACACACACACACACACACATATATATATATATATATATATATATATATATATATATATACAGTATCATTGCCTCTACATTAGTTATATATACAAACATACAATTACGACGACATTACTGCCCCTTATATTGGTTATATATATACATATATTAATACTATACTACCAGAGATATGGAGACATTACTCATTTGTTATATATAATATATATACATATACATACATATATATATATATATATATATATATATATATATATATATATATATTCGGGGACGGGGCGGGGTGGGGAGGGGTATCCCCATCCCCGTCCCCGTCCCCGTTCTCCGAAAATTTTCCCCATCCCCGTCTCTATTGGGGTGGGGATCGGGGATCCCCGTCGGGGACGGGGCACATTCCCATCCCTACTTCTCAATAATAATTTTTATGTACTGGTATTTATACTAATTTAGTACTAATTTGCAATATTCTGTTATATTTTTGAAAAATACAATCACACTTTTCCTTTATATATTCAAAATACAATCATATGGACTGTTACAAATCATTTACGGATGTGGTGCCATTTTAGCCAATTATTTGCAACAGTTTTTCAATTTGTATAATTTAACAAATTGATCATTTTTAATTGATATATGGCGAAGATGGTTATCGCAATATTTTCCCCTGCATATTTGCCCCTACAGTACCCTTTGTTGTTCCCATATGGCTAAGATGGTTATCGTGAAGATATTACATTTTCTGATGCATGGCGCCGAGGATATCATGGTGGTAGGACAAGAATTAGCCCTAAAGAGTATTTCTCGTTCTATATACATTAGAAGGTAAATGAGAAGCATACATTGTTATATTCTAGGAGGTTATTTCAACAATACTTGGTTGATGCATATACAATGATCAAACATGCACGTTTGATCTACATTAGAACTCATCAGAAGGCGTTGTGTTGTGATGCTTATCAGGGTTTGAGCGATGCACTAACAAGGGGCGAATTAGATCCCACAAATCGGGGTAAAAGAATTATACTACCATCATCATTCACAGGCGGAGCTAGGTATATGATTCAAAACTATCATGATGTAATGGCAATATGCAGGCACATCGGTTATCCTCATTTGTTCATAACATTCAACCCGAAGTGGCCTGCGATTGAGCGGTATGTTACACAACGTGGGCTTAAAGTAGAGGATAGACTCGATACTGTTTGCCGCTTGTTTAAGATGAAACATGATGTTATGATTGAAGAGGTCAAGACAGAAAAACTGTTTGGCGACATATGTGGAGGTATTTGATTATCATACATACTTTAATGTGCCCTAATTAAACCTAAATTCCATGTATAAAATTAATGTCTCACGCGCACATATTGCTATTTGCCAAAAGAATAAATCGGGCACATTCTGCACCGGAAATTGATGCCTTGATTTTTGCTGTGATTCCAGACCCAGATGCCGACAATGAGTACAATGACGCAGTTAGTGAATTTATGTTGCACGGACCATGCGGACAACTCCGGAAGAATTCGCCATGCATGGTAAATGGTAAATGTTCAAAGTATTTCCCAAAAACATATGTTAGTGAGACAATTCTTGAGAAAGATGGTTACCCAATCTACAGAAGGCATGACAATGGATGCAAAATCAGTAAGAATGGAGTCCAACTTGATAACCGTTACGTTATCCCGCATAATAAACATCTGCTTCTAAAATATCGCGCACATATTAACTTTGAATGGTGCAACCGGTCGAGATCGATAAAATATTTATTCAAATACGTCAATAAAGGAAATGATCGAGTCACGGCAGAGTTCATGAGTAATTCTACAAATGCAGTCAGTGGTGATGTGGTCGATGAGATTAACAGGTACTACGATTGTCGCTACATATCGGCATGTGAAGCTACCTGGCGGCTGTTTGGGTACGTGATCCATTATCGCACGCCACCTGTGGAGAGGTTAAATTTTCACTTAAATATCCAACAGAATGTTGTCTATGGGGTAGATCAAAGCCTCGACGAGATTGTCGAGAACCAAACGGTTAAGCAGAGCCAGTTCACAGCTTGGTTTGAGGCAAACAAAAAATATGAAGATGCTCGGTCGCTCACTTATGCAGAGTTCCCCGGTAAGTTTGTTTGGAGACAAGACGTGCGTGAATGGCATCCAAGGAAGAAAGGATTCTCCATAGGACGATTGTTCTATGTTCTTTCAGGGTGTGAAGAATTATACTATCTAAGATGCCTTTTAAATATCATACGTGGACCTTCAAGCCACGAGGATATTCGCACTGTTGGGGGTCATTCACAAATCATTTAGGGATGCGTGTTATGAATATGGATTATTAGATGATGACAAGGAGTACATCGACGGTATTACTGAATCCAATTACTAGGCATCCGCGTCCGCATTGCGAAGGTTGTTTGCAGTTTGCTACGTTGCTCACTTCAAGTTCAATCTGTAAACCAGAGGTGGTGTGGAATGCCGTTTGGCAATTTCTTGCGGAGGATGCACAGTTTCATCGTCGACGTCTCATGCACAATCCAGGTACATCAACATCCAATCTATTTATTGAACATTATTATTTGCTTTTCATTATTTATACAAAAACCCATTCTTTGATTTTGTTTTCGTTTCATTTCTAAACTATGAATATTTGTTGTTATCGGAATACGATAAACAACAATTTGCTCTAGCCGAGTTGGAGAAGTTATAGTCTTTGTGGGGGAAGAGCCTGAGCGACTATCCAGAAATGCCGCTTCCAGAAGAAAAAAATATTTGATTGACGGAAAAAATGTTGATATCCGAAGAGTTGGCGTACGACAAGGAATCATTGAAGGCAGAACATGAAACATTGGTAACTCAATTGACGGACGAACAGAAGGTTGTTTACGACTCTATGATTAATGATATTGATTCTAATGGAGGGGGATTGTTTTTTGTGTATGGTTACGGAGGAACAAGCAAGACGTTCGTGTGGAGAACATTATCTTCAAAGATAAAGAGCCGTGGAGATATTGTTCTAAACATTGCTTCAAGTAGAATAGAATCTTTGCTATTGCCGGGTGGCAGGACGACACATTCTCGATTTGCTATACCACTCTTAGTGAATGATGATTCCACCTGCAATATATCGCAAGGTAGTGACCTTTGCGAACTTATAATCAGGAGCAAATTGATAATATCGGATGAAGCACCGATGACACACAAATACTGTTTTGAGGCTTTAGACAAAACCATGAGGGATATATTGAGATTCACCATACCTGGTAGTGATCAGAAAATATTTGGTGGAAATACAGTAGTATTGGGCGATGATTTTAGACAGATTCCTACAGTTATTCCAAAAGCAATGAGACCAATGGTTGTGGGAGCCACTATTAATTCTTCATACCTCTATAGGAATTGCAAGGTATTGAGGCTCACGAAGAACCCTGAGACTACAGAGCTTAGCTTCAAACGAAGATAGACAGACGGCTGATTGGTTCTCAAGATGGATTGCAAACATCGGAGATGGGATTACAATGTTTGTAAACAATGGTTTGTTTGAGATCGATATTCCACCAAGGTTTATGTTGAAGTGTGGACCTGATCCAATTGCAACTATAGTTGAAAGCATCTTCCCAACCGCGAAGTATGGAATGCTAGAAGAGTCGCACCTAGAAAGACGAGCGATCCTCTCACCGACTTTAGATGTTGTTGATCAATTTAATCAGTATATGTGTGACATGAACACTGCAGAAGGTCGGACGTATTCAAGTTATGACTCTTTGTGTAAGGCAGAATTATATGGTGATAATCTCTCACAAGTACACACACTCCTGAATTTCTAAATAGCTTGAGATTGTCTGGACTTCTTAATCATTCATTGACAATAAAGGTTGGTGCACCTGTTATGTTACTGCGAAACATAGACCTCTCTCTTGATCTTTGCAATGGTACGCGCCTCATCGTTACAAGATTGGCGGTTCATACGTATAACATTAGGAAGGGAAAAGAGAGAAGAAGAAAGGAAAGGAAGAAGGGAAAAAAGGAAGAAAGAAGAAGGAAACCTACTGTTGATGTTTCCTTAAGCTAGCTTGGTCTCAATTCTTGATGAAGTGAAGAAGAAATATGGAGGGATTGAGGGAGGCAATGGAATAGTGTAGTATTTATACGGGGGCACAAAACCCTAGGTGGATAGAGGGAAGAGAGGAACGGCTATGAGAGGGGTAGAATGAGGATTTTGGGTTAAAACTTTGGGTTATAATTTTGAGTCAAAAGTTGGGTCAAGTTTAGATAAAAATATCATTTTGATTAGTATAAAAATAGGCTAGGTTTCATTTGAGTTCAAACTTAGGCTTAAAATGAGTAATATAAGGATCACATATTCGTCTGATATTGATTTTTGGGTTAAAATTTTGGATGGGATTTATATCATAAAAATAGGGTTCATAAAACTACAAGTATCCATATAAATATTTTTATTTAAAAACAAAGAAATAAAAATAATTTTGTTCACTTCTTGAATTCTATGAGGAAGTACTTTTATTTTTCGCATTTTGTAGTGAGTTTAGAATTTATATTTCACACCCAGTGGGACTCGAACCCACAATCGCTTGATTAGAAGTCAAGCGTCTTATCCATTAGGCCATGGGCGCAGATATACTTTATAAGGTATTTGAATTTATTAATTGTTGTCCCTTATTGATTATAATTAATATTGACTTTGTGTGTTTATGTTTTGTAATGTGTTCAAATTACGTGACTTTAGTACCGAATAAAAATTGAGCAAATCTATATATATCTATATATAATTAAAAGAAAATTCCTCCTAGCCAAGTTTCTCCCTCAAAACTTAGGGGCATTTTTGTAATATCTATGTATACATAATTAGTCTATATATAATTCATAATATTATGTGTGTTCTTAATTACCCTGACTTTTAATTATGTATAGATTATGAATATTGACTAATTAATTATGGAAAGAATATTATGTTAATATAAGCTAATTAATTATTGAATTAATTAACGTGTATTCCTTTTAATTGTAATATATATATATATATATATATATATATATATATATATATATATATATAAAAGTAAATTTTAATAATTATAAATTACACGGAATTTATGCATATGCACTTCAGTGTGCCAAAGGAAATTTTAATAATTATAAATTTAGTGCATATATAAATTACATGGAATTATAACAATTAGGTATTAGTGTAATAATTAAATATGGTAGTAGCATAATGATTTGCTATTTAAACTCATTATTGTGTTAAACCCAAAGCTGTCAGCTTCCAACGTATTTCTGCATTTGTACTCTCCTCTTTACACTGATTCTCAATGGCGGCTGAACTTCACAGCGAGATTGTTGGTAATCAACTTCGTCCTAAACGCCGGTGGAATAACATCAGGTTTAGAGTGCTTCGTGTCGTTCGTCTTCCAGAGACAAGGGGTTCTGAAATCATAAACTCTATAGAGTGTGTAGTACATGATGTAGAGATATGTTTTGTTTTTGTTTGTTTTTTTTTTCTCACTATAATCTTAATCTTTATATTTTGTATTTCTAAAATTTTAGTTGATGCATATGCTTTTTTATAATTTCAGGGAACTTTTATACATATGCATATTCCTCGATTGTGTGTTCAAAAGTGGTTCAACAAATTTGAAGAAGGAAAACTTTATCGAATTAATAGATTTGAGGTGGTTTATAATGAGTATAGAAACAAAACTAGTAATCTCATGTATATGCTGATGTTTTGTGATAGAACTTCTGTGGGAATTTTGAAAGTTGCAGATTTCCCAACACATGTTTATGACAGAGAATATTATGATTTCGCTGAAGAGGTGGTCTATTGCTTACTTACATTGTTTTACTTTTTTGTATAACTTTAATGACGTATTTAAATTTTCCTACACGATTCTCTAGATGTACATGTGCCTGAACCTCCGATTGGAAATTTGAATTCTACCAAAGAAGGAGATTCAAATAATGAGGAGGATGCTTAGAGATGAATAATGAGAAATATGTCAACAATTTAATCTATTAAACTGATGCCTTTGTTATGTTATTTGTTATTGTTTTTACTCATATTCTGCAGTTTTTTTTTAATCAAATCAGTTATTTGTATTTTGGTGTTATATTATTATGCTAATATTACACGCAATTGGAAATTATTATTCATGGCATTTTTCATTATTCATTATTCATTTTGTACTATTCTTTATTTCGTAATTATTCATGTTAAAGTGCAATTCTTTATTTCGTAGTTTTTATCCAATGGCATTTTTCACTTCTCAATAATAGTTTATATGTAATGGTATTTACCTTAATTTAGTACTGATTTGCAATATTCTGTTATATTTTTGAAAAATACAATCACACTTTTCCTTTGTATATTCGAAATACAATCATATGGACTGTTACGAATCATTTACGGATGTGGTGCCATTTTAGCCAATTATTTGAAACAGTTTTCCAATTTGTATAATTTAACAAATTGATCATTTTTAATTGATATATGGCGAAGATGGTTATCGCAGTATTTTTCCCTGCATATTTGCCCCTACAGTACCCTTTGTTGTTCCCATATGGCTAAGATGGTTATCGTGAAGGTATTACATTTTCTGATGCATGGCGCCGAGGATATCATGGTGGTAGGACAAGAATTAGCCCTAAAGATTATTTCTCATTCTATATACATGAGAAGGTAAATGAGAAGCATACATTGTTATATTCTAGGAGGTTATTTCAACCATACTTGGTTGATGCATATACAATGATCAAACATGCACGTTTGATCTACATTATAACTCATCAGAAGGCGTTGCGTTGTGATGCTTATCAGGGGTTGAGGGATGCATTAACAAGGGACGAATTAGATCCCACAAATCGGGGTAAAAGAATTATACTACCATCATCATTCACAGGCGGAGCTAGGAATATGATTCGAAACTATCAAGATGTAATGGCAATATGCAGGCACATCGGTTATCCTCATTTGTTCATAACATTCAACCCGAAGTGGCCTGAGATTGAGCGGTATGTTACACAACGTGGGCTTAAAGTAGAGGATAGACTCGATATTGTTTGCCGCGTGTTTAAGATGAAACATGATGTTATCATTGAAGAGATCAAAACAGAAAAACTGTTTGGCGACATATGTGGAGGTATTTGATTATCATAGATACTTTAATGTGCCCTAATTAAACCTAAATTCCATGTATAAAATTAATGCCTCACGCGTACATTTTGCTATTTGCCAAAAGAATAAATCGGGCACATTCTGCACCGGAAATTGATGCCTTGATTTCTGCTGAGATTCTAGACCCAGATGCTGACAATGAGTACAATGACGCAGTTAGTGAATTTATGTTACACGGACCGTGCGGACAACTCTGGAAGAATTCGCCATGCATGGTAAATGGTAAATGTTCATAGTATTTCCCAAAAAAATATGTTAGTGATACGATTCTGAATAAAGATGGTTACCCAATCTACAGAAGGCGTGACAATAGATGCACAATCAGTAAGAATAGAAGCCAACTTGATAACCGTTACATTATCCCGCATAATAAACATCTGCTTCAAATATTTATTCAAATACGTCAATAAAGGAAATGATCGAGTCACGGCAGAGTTCATGAGTAATTCTACAAATGCAGTCAGTGGTGATGTGGTCGATGATATTAACAGGTACTACGATTGTCGCTATATATCAGCATGTGAAGCCACATGGCGACTGTTTGGGTACGTGATCCATTATCGCACGCCACCTGTGGAAAGGTTAAATTTTCACTTAAAGAACCAACAGAATGTTGTCTAAGGGGTAGATCAAAGTCTCGACGAGATTGTCGAGAACCAAATGGTTAAGCAGAGCCAGTTCACAGCTTGGTTTGAGGCAAACAAAAAATACGAAGATGCTCGGTCACTCACTTATGCAGAGTCCCCCGGTAAGTTTGTTTGGAGACAAGACGTGCGTGAATGGCTTCCAAGGAAGAAAGGATTCTCAATAGGACGATTGTTCTATGTTCCTTCAGGGTGTGAAGAATTATACTATCTAAGATGCCTTTTAAATATCATACGTGGACCTTCAAGCCACGAGGATATTCGCACTGTTGGGGGGTCATTCACAAATCATTTAGGGATGCGTGTTATGAATATAGATTATTAGATGATGACAAGGAGTACATCGACGGTATTACTGAATCCAATTACTAGGCATCTGCGTCCGCATTGCGAAGGTTGTTTGCGGTTTGCTACGTTGCTCACTTCAAGTTCAATCAGTAAACCAGAAGTGGTGTGGAATGCCGTTTGGCAATTTCTTGCGGAGGATGCACAGTTTCATCGTCGACGTCTCATGCACAATCCAGGTACATCAACATCCAATCTATTTATTGAACATTATTATTTGCTTTTCATTATTTATACAAAAACCCATTCTTTGATTTTGTTTTCGTTTCATTTCTAAAC